TCTGAGAAAGAACACTGGCTTCACTGCTAAGTGGACGTGAGCCCAGTGCACTCGGAGGTAACACGCAGGTTCTCTCACATCCCTCTGGGCTCCAGGAGCTGAAAACTCAATGGGGTGCCTGGCTGCCTCAGTGGGTAGAGCATGCAACTCTTGATCTCAGGGGTTGTGAGTTCAAGCCCCATGTTGGGTGTAGAGATTACTTAAAAATAAAATCTTTAGAGAGAAAGAGAGGGAAAGAAAGAGAGAGAGAGAGAGAGAGAGAAAGAAAGAAAGAAAGAAAGAAAGAAAGAAAGAAAGAAAGAAAGAAAGAAAGAAAGAAAGAAAGAAAGAAAAAGGGAAGAAAGGCAAGAGGTAATAATACAAGGAAAGAGATTGGAATAGGACAGAGCTGTGTATCTTGTCCAGACTGTCCTTAGTCAGGCAGCATGCCCTTGTTCAATTTAACTTCCTTTGCCTTGTTTTCTTCATCTGTGAAATGTGGTTATTAAGTCATGTGTCATAGTAAAATGCAAGAATTTAATAAAATACTAAAGGTTGAAGTGACCCCACACAGGGCCCAGATATAGTAGCTGGATATAGTGACCTGCTGTGACTTTGGCCATGAGATTCAACTGGGGATACTAGTTATCATATTAGAGTTATTTGGGTTTTGTCTCTGCTCCCTCTGCCCACCATTAAGGGTGTGTTCTGGTGAAATGTTCAGCAAGAGGGAGAAATACGTGGGACAAGAGACCTGGAGGATCTGATTCAGTGGTATTTCGACAGTTCTGGAACAGCTCCTCTTTACTGAGAAAGCAGCTCTTCAGTGGATAAAGAGCTGTGGAGTTGTCACATGTAACCCACAAATCACAGATCGCTTTCCAGATGAGTCAGACTTTCTGCTGAAAGAGCATGCTTATGACTGTGGCCTTTGGGAAGGCCCCTTCCCCAATGAAAGGGTGAGTTCAAGGCCCTTTGCTCAAAATACAACTGGACTGCATTAAATACCAGTTGCTTTCAAACTGCTTTCTAAATCTGGCCCTGGAGCTTCTCTGGTTTCACATTGGGCCACAGAAGTGCCCCAGCACACACTTAATACTCACTGTGCTGTGGGTGACCACAGAGTGACCCAGGAGTGACGTGTGGGCGACCCCCCCGGAGCCAACACAGCAACAGCTTCGCCCATTGGAGGTCATAGCAGTGCCCTCAGCAGATACTCTGGTCGGTTGAAAATTATAATTTTATTGTGAAATGATCATTAAAAAAAAAAGTCCAAGTGGAAACAATTAAACTTTGGGAAAGTCAAACAAATGTTGCTAGCCAAGAAACCCCGACCAGAAACCAAGCTGTGATTGGCTCTACATGTAAAATCTAGGAGAAAATTCAGGCGGACATCAGATTCTCAAGTTCAGAGGCAATACCAAAGAGGTAGCAGAGTCCAGTGTTATAAATAGCACATTCTGGGAAAATTACAAGAGGTGGTATTTAGAAAGTCACTGGTGAAGGAAAGGTTGAAGAATTAATTACCTCAGAATGGGCTGCCAAGAGGTGGCTTTGATGTTATCACAGATAAACTTCCTCAGTGACGCTGCTGGGAGTGAGGGTTGCACTAAGCAAGTAACAGCAAATAACTTGGATTTAAGTGAAATCTTTGGGAGATGAACTGTGAAATGAACACATCACGGCTCAGAGGGGCCATCTTGGGAGTGGATAGGTTCCCAGCTGAGGCCACTTTCTCCACTGTAATAACACGGAGAGGATGAAATATCTAAAGACAGAATGGGGTGAGGAAAGCGGATCTCAGAGTCAATCCGGCCCAGTGTGAGAAGAGAGCAGCCCTTGTTCCAAACATAACTTTGCTTTAGGTCAAGATACATCAGCTACTCTCAACTTAAAGGCAAGAAGCCATGAGTTCTTAAACGTCAGCAATCACCTGAGGTGCCTGTTTAAAATACAGATGGCCAGGTTCCATTCTCGGAGAGTCTGGGATGGAGTTTGGACATCCAAATATTCATGAGCCCCACTGAGGTGATTCTGAGGCACATGGCAGGAGTCTGGAGTCTGGAGTCCCAGTCTCTCCTCCCAGTTTCTGACAAATTGGCTTCCTGTGGAACTCGCCCAGAAGAAAAGAATGTGGAGCCTTGATGAGTCTAGCATCTTGCTGAACAGCTGGAGATTCGCATTATGAATCAATAAATTGACTTCCAACCTCATGTATGGGTCTCCTTCACTTGGTGAGTCCACCCTAGATATCTTGGATTACTTTTTAGGAGCCTTTTGCCCCCTGTACTATCGTTTTTTGCATGAAGTCCTCACTATAAAGTATTGTGTGCCAGATGAATTAAATAGCTAATTGTAAAAGGGGAAAAAGAAAAAAAACAATGTTTGTGGGGCGCCTGCGTGGTTCAGTCGGATAAGTGGCCGACTCTTGATTTCAGCGCGGGTCATGATCTCAGGGTTGTGAGATGGAGCCCCGTGCCAGACTCTGCACTTAGCAGGGAGTCTGCTTAAGATTCTCTCTCCCCCTCTGCCCCCCCGCCCCGGCACTCACTCTCTCTCTCTAAAATAAATAAATAAAATCTTTAAAAAAAAAAGAAGTATAAGGTTTGCATGTTCTTTGGTTAGATGCAATCTCTGCAAACAAAATATGAAACCCAGGGGCAATAGAAGAGTGCATTAGGTTTGAGCTCATAAAAATGTAAAACTTTTATAGGATAAATAATACCATAGTTTAAAAAATTTTAAGTTACAGAATGAGAGAAAGTATTTGATTTGCATGTAATACTCAAAGGTTTAAAATTTAGATAATTTAATGAGTTTCTACGAGATCAATTAAAAAAATTAAAAAACAGCAAAGAAAAATGGACAGGATGTGATACTTGCATACAATAACTGGGACATACTTATAAAAAAAATCCATTGTTTATATGAAATTTCAATTTAGCTGAGTGTCCTGAGTTTTGTTTTTTGTTTTTTGCCTTTTTTTTTTAAGTCTGGCAACCCTAAGAGGATATGAACTTCCAGTTTACAGAATGAGAAAAACTAATGATCCAAGATCATTGAAGAGATATATACAAATTAAAACAAACATGCCTAACCTGTTTTTGCTCATTCGATTGGAAAACATTAAGAAGCAGTGTCCCTTGTGGGCTTCGATAAAGAAAATATTTACTATATTAATATTTAATGCACTATGGAAAATGTAAGACCATAACGAGTTTTGGAAAATTCTAGCAACTATGGTATAAGACCTAAAATTAAGGTCCAATGCTATGTGCTACCTTGACATTCGGTAAAGCTGGGAGGGTCCTGAATGACATAACTCTCTTCTCCAATCTGATCGCTTGCTGGCCAAATAGCCCTCCTTACCAATCGGACCGGGCGCACCACCTGTTCATCCCTGAGTATTAGGTGTCAGTCTCCTGACAGCCTGTGGAATTATGCAAAATAAGCCAATCACGTCATCCTCTGGGAACCAGGAGGCACCTCTCTTCTTCTTACTACAAAACCTTAACCCCATACCCCTCATTGTTCTCTCTGTTCCCAAGTGCAGCACCCATGTGGCCCTGTGTCGTGTGCGGTGTCCTCATCCCCTGGGCTGTGAGTGTATGTATCTAGTTGGTGTCATCCCTTTATTGTCAGCTGTCACTCCTTATCCCTGGGGCAGGAATCCTTCCCTCATCAACCCGATGAAGAGGAGGTGATTAAAACAGCAGCATCTTTCAAATTTTTGAAGGTATCCACTTCCGAAATTTCACTTCCGACAATATAGCCTACAAAATACTCACAAAGACAAAAAGAGATGCATGCAGAAACGAGAATATTCATCGCAACATTGTATTTTTTAAAATTGAAAAATTGGTAGCAACCTGAATATCCATCCGTCAGGAAATGGTTAAATAAATTATTGTCAATGTAATCTGCGAAATACTACCTAACTACTGAAATGATATAGAATGAGTTCCAGGACTTGTTATATTTAAGCAATACATATACCTGCACCCAATTTATGCAAAATAATATACACCTACATATATGTGTGTGTCTGTATGCATGTATACATATATACATATAATAAAGACAGGGAAGGAAAATGCCAAACTGATCAAAGAGGTTGCTTAGAGGGTGAGGAGAGGGACAAGGGGAGGCTTTTGTGTTTTTATGCTGTGTAATTTTGTACTGTTTGAGTCTTCTACGCTGAAAATGCATTCTAGTATCACTTATGTGATGTGATAGAAATTTAAAGGTAAGAAAAGTAAATCAAACGATATAAAGTCTCATAGACTAACACATGGTGAAGGTTTGTAGTAATGTAACACAACTAAGCAATGGGAGTGGCTAGTCTGAATATTCCAGCACCCAGGACATCTTCTGGCCCTTAACGCTATGTGTTGACTTAGCCCGTTAAATTTTTCTCAGCTTCTCTCCAGAAGGAGTCCTAACGCAAAAATGCCTCATTCATATATTCTGGAGGAGACAGGTAATCAAGACTGATATGCCAGCTAACACATTTTTGCAAATCCTTTTCAACTCCCTTCCTACCCCATCTTTTATTTAACTTCATCATCTCATGCAACATGTTAAAAACAAAACAAAACAAACAAAAAGTATATAAAGAGAAGGAGGATGAGGTCCAGTGAACGAGAGAAAAGAAAAATGGTTAAGTACTGTTTATTCCAGTGTGAAAACCAGACGAGCCCTTGGCAACTGTTTCTTGCTTGCTAAGTGAAAACTTGAATTTAACTAAACAATGATCGGTATGTCCTCTCCTTTTTCTCTCTTTAAAGAAGCCATTTATTTGGCTAGTGATTGACAAGCAGCATTAGTGAGCAATCACGTACTTGATGCAGATCCTAAGGGAAATCACCAGAACTCGGGTCACACTCCATTGACCAAAGCCTATCCCTGCCCTGCCAAGGCCAAGTCCCGCTCAGCCTTCTCCATTTGCCCCGAGGACGGACTCCTGTCTCCAGCTCCACCCTGACCCCTGCTATCCCTGGGGACGTTCTTTGACATCTCACCACACTAATGCCGTCATTGAGAAGGGCCTCCCCGAAGATCATCATGTAGAGTGGCTCATTCACCCGTGCCTCCTCGAACACAGCCAGCACAGCCACGGGGTCCACGGCCGAGATCAGGCTGCCGAACAGCAGGTTCTGAAGCAGGCTGACGTCACTGAGGCCAAAGGCTTTGATCTGGCAGATGAGGTAGAGGGAGAGGCCAATGCCAAAGGCATTGATAAGGGCCCCCAGGCCTGCCCACCACAGGATGGACCCAATGTTCTCAAAGAAGGGCCGGGTGGGCATGAAGTAACCACCCTCCAGGACAATGGGTGGAAGGAGGTACAGGAAGTAGATGCTTGAATCCATGACGGGAGGAGATTTATGGTCGGTGCCAAAGATGATGGCACCCACCAGAGCCCCAACGATGATGAGGAGGCAGCTTTCTGGCATGAGGCCTGGCAGTCTGTGGTAAAGATGGAAGCCTAGGGAAGAGCGGAGAATCACATTTAGATGTTTGCAAGTAAAATGGCTCTGGCCAAGAAGATACCAGGGGACTGGTGTAGAAGAGGCCTTCTAAAACTAAGCAGAGGGGACCTTGGGTAGGCTGGTTTGCATCCCTGAGCCTCAGCACCCCGTCTTTAGTGGGGACTAGAAATGTCATGGGGTCTTTCAATCAGGTCAAGTACTTAACATGCCAGGCCCAGTGCAGGTCTCAGAGCAGTCCTCAGCCAGCTGTCCCCTCCCCCTCCTCCTTCCTGCTTCCCCCCTTACAGGGTCTGAGAGGGCAGTCGGGAAAGAGGAGCAAGGAGGGTGGAGCTCCTTTGCATTCTTGCAAAACCCACCTTTGAGGCCCATTCAGAGTCAATAACAGTCACCTAAACATCAGCTTCTTCCAAACTTCCCTTCCACCAAACCGATGAATGAAAATTTAGTCCTTTATTGTATTTTCCTTATTTAACCAATGACACGCCATCTGGTCAGCCATGTAAGAAGGAAATCAAGGGGCACCTGGGTGACTCAGTTGGTTGAGCGTCTGACTCTTGGTTTTGGCTCAGGTCATGATCTTATGGGTCGTGGGATGGCGCCCCGAGCATGGGGCTCCATGCTCAGTGGGGAGTCTACTTGAGGATTCTCTCCCTCTGCCCCTCCCTCCACTTGCGAACTCTCTCTCTTTCTAAAATAAATAAATAAATCTTTTAAAAAAAGGAAGGAAATCAAGTTGCATTCCCTGAATCCCCATCACTTTGCCCTTGTGCAATTCCCTTTCTCGTCATCTATGTCTCAGTAGCTGTCCCTTAAGACCGTCTCCTCCTCCCTATTTGTACAGTTACCGCCTTTATGTAGGGGCTCCCCATTTCCCATCCTGACTTCTGCACTGGCTTCCTGACCTCGTATCTCACCCTCAACCCCGCGGCTCATTCCAACTTCCGCTGCCAGATGACTTTTCCAAACCACATGTATCTATACTCATCTCATTCCCCACCTAAGACATCTGAAGGCACACAAAGCATCTCACAGATTTTAAACTGAGGGTTATTTGTGAAGCATCCTTGGGCCAAGACCAACTCACTGCCAAGCACTGTGTGTGACATGGTGAACCAAACATGTTTATTACAATTCCAGCTATTGATGAAATTTCAGAAATAAGACATTAACAAATAAGAAGACAAAAACAAGGCAACATAGAAGAATGCAGTGAAGTGTATATTGACTATATCAACAAACAGGAGAAGAGATCAGAGCACAGCAGGCCACTCTGGGGTTCTCTCCAAGTCAATATCCCTCCCACCCAACACTACCCGTGTGCATCCTACGTTATAGCCAACCACACACCTTTACCCTGTGGTTCACCTTTCCTGTCTTCATTTATTCCTGCCTGGATTGTTCTTTTCTTCAACTTATTTAGGTCCTGCTCTATCTTCAAAATTAAACTTTTCCCAACCACTTCCCAAGGAAATCATATGTCTTCCTCTGAATTACTGTAATATTTTATCAGTATCTGTCTAACAACAATGTTCTTTTTCTATCGTTTTCTGTGCACGCCTTATCTCTCCTACTAACCTCCAAATTCTTCCAACTTGGACAGAATGGCATACAACTCTTTATCTCCCCAAAGTGCTTAGCAATGTGTCTTGCCCACGACAGCTGGTCTATTTGGTGGAAGAATCTGTAAGTGTGTACATGAATGATTGATCCAATTAAATGTTCACCAGAGAAGCTTTTATATGGGAAGTAGAAATTGAACAGGTTGTTGGGGGATGACTAGGACTTACATAGTTGGACAGCAGAATGGAAGAGATTTTAGGTGGGGAGAACTCCAAGAGAAAAAGTAGAGAGACAGGAATGGCCCAGTCAGATATGTCTGACATTCATTGAGGAGATCCACCTGGCTGGAGCAAATTATGAATGAAGAAGAATATTGGAAGAAGAGTCAGTAGATGATTGAGCCAAATAAGAGAGGGTCTTGAGTTCAAGGCTAAGGAGTAGAGATTTCTCCCACAGGCCACAGGGAGCCACTGAATGTCTCCTTAGGAATTTTAATTTTAATTCCATTTTAACCATTCTGACAGGTAGGAGGTGGTATTTCATTCTGGTTTTGATTTGTATTTCTCTGGTGATGAGTGATGTTGAGCATCTTTTCATGTGTCTGTTGGCCATCTGGATGTCTTCTTTGGAAAAATGTCTGTTCATGTCTTCTGCTCATTTCTTAACTGGATTATATATTTTGGGGGTTTTGGGAATGCAAATTGGTGCAGCCAAGCTGGAAAACAGTATGATGGCTCCTCAAAAAGTTAAAAATAGAACTACCTTATGGCCCAGCAATTGTACTACTAGGTATTTACCCAAAGGATACAAAAATATAGATTCGAAGGGGCACATGCACCCCAACGTTTATAGCAGCATTATCAACAATAGCCAAACTATGGAAAGAGTGCAAGTGTCCATCAACTTATGAATGGATAAAGAAGATGTGGTGTATATATACAATGGAATATTACTCAGCCATCAAAAAGAATGAAATCTTGCCATTTGCAACAATGTGGATGGAGCTCGAGTGTATTATGCTAAACGAAGTAAGTCAGAGAAAGATAAATACCACATGATTTCACTCATAGGTGGAATTTAAGAAACAAAACAGATGAACATGAGGGGAGAAAAAAGAGAGAGAAGCAAACCATAAGAGACTCTTAACTCTAGAGAACAAACTGAGGGTTGATGGGGGGAGGTGGGTGAGGGGGATGGGCTAAATGGGTGATGGGTATTAAGGAGGGCACTTGTTGTGATGAGCACTGGGTGTTATATGTAAGTGACAATTTAAATAAAACTTTA